AATTATTAACATCTGTAACATTTATTTTCCTCCGAATACTCGTATAAAAAAAATAACTCATATTATAGAATAAATAGAGACTCGTATACTAAGTATAAAAGAGATAACTCATATTATAGAATCAATTCCGTCTCCTAAGATTATAGTAGGAGATCTAAATGGACGCAACCCCCTTTGGGGATCTAATAGATATAACAAAATAGGACACATAATAGAGACGGTCATTATTACCACCAATATTACCCTACTTAACGATGGATCTCCAACAATATTTATTTATTTTACTGGAAACACTTGTTGTATTGACTTATCTCTTGTAGACCCTTCTTTAATACAAAACATAACTTGGGAAGCTAGTACACAAACAATTGTATGGAAGCGATCATTTTCCCATAGTGATACATTTCAAAAACAAACAAAAAATTCAACCATACACTAGATGGAAATCAGAAATACAGGACTGGTCACCGTTTACACAATTTGTGAAGAATCAATTGAATTATTTTTCAGATCCATCCTCGCATGACAATATAAACGACTTAGTAAATAAATTTTCTTCCGTCATACTTTCCGCAGCAGATCATATATCATTGGAAAAAAGAAAATAGTAAGAAATCGTATTGGAGTACCATGGTGGAACAATCACTGTCAGGATGCTACAAAGAAGACTCACAGAGCTTTCAATAAAAACAAAAAACACAAGAAAAGCTTCTAGAATTTAAGAAGTTAAGGGCTATTAGTAGAAAAGTGGTAAAAGAAGGAAAAAAGGAATCGTGGAAAAAATTTTTATCAACAATGAACAGTTCTACCCCAGCAGCAATAGTGTGGAAACAAATTAACAAAATTTCGGGATGCCAGACAAACTCATCAATAAGATTTTTAGAATATAATAACAAAGTTCATACATCTAGATCTGGAATAGCCAATGTATAAGCTACATCCTACTAGTCATAACGTAACGAAACATTTTCTCAAGAGTTTTTACAATTTAAAACCCAAGAAGAATTACAAGAATTTAATTATGATAAAAGCGATAACCTACCAATAAATGAACCAATACTAGAGGAAGAGTTAACTGAATCTATAAATTCTATTAAAAACTCTAGTCCTGGTCCAGATGATATTCCTATTATTTTCGTAAAAAATTTGCTCAAAAATGGATTTGCCTATTTACTAAAGATATTTAACAAAATATGGCTTGAAGGAGTGTTTCCACATACATGGAATAATGTTTATACAATACCTATCCATAAACCTGGTAAACCACGTTCAGATCCAAACTCCTACCGTCCAGTATCATTAGGATGTGCAATGAGCAAAGTGCTCGAAAAATTAATTAACCAACGTCTTATTTGGATACTCGAGCAAAGATCTGTTTTATCTAACAAATAAAGTGGATTTCGCAAAGATAGATCTACTCTAGAAAACTTAGTTGACCTCGAGTCTGAAATACATAAAGCGCTAACAAATAATCAAAGCTGCATAGCGGTAGTTTTTGATATAATCAGAGCATTTGATACAGTTTGGCGCCATGGAATAATTAAAACTTTACAGAAATTAGGTATACAAGGAAATATGCTAAACTTCATCACCAACTTTTTATAAGACCGGAGTTTCCAAGTAAAAGTAGATGATTTCATTTCTAAAACAAAAATACAGGAAAATGGAACCGCCCAAGGATCATCGATTAGTGTTACTCTTTTTCTTATTGCTATTAACAGTATTTTGGAAAACGATTCTCCACAAGTAAAAAGTAGGCTATACGCAGACAATCTCATAATTTATTGTAAAGGAAGAAACATAGAACTAATTAAACAAACCTTACAAGATATTATTTCTGCCTTAGAAAAATGGTCAATGAAATCTGGAATGAAATTTTGTTTCAACAAAAGTAAATGTATCCATTTCACCAGAAAACGCAGTGTTAGAAGTCCAGAACTTACAATCTTTAATACAAAAATAGAATATGTTTATGTTGACTGTATCAAATTCCTTGGAATTAATTTTGACAAACATTTAAATTTTAAGCAACATATTAATTAACTTAAAATATCTGGTCAACAATATTTAAACAAAACGAAAGTCCTATCTACTAAAAATTGGGGATGTGATCAAGATATCTTATTGACAGTATATAAAAGCCTTATTTGATCTAAAGTCGATTACGGTTCAATAGTGTATGGGTCTACCAGTCAATCACTTTTGAAAGAGTTCCAAACAATCCAAAATGTTGCTGTAAGAATAGTCTTAGAAGCTTTTTGTACCACATCTACAGATAGCTTACTATGTTTAGTAGGAGAAATGCCTCTGGAATTAAGAAGACAATATCTTAGCCTAGCATATGCTGCAAACGTTTCAGCAAATAGTGAAAATCCCGTCAGAAACAATGTCTTTACTTCTCGTTTCCACACAACATATCTTAACAAAAAAAGATCTAACCTCCCTTTTTATGAAAGACTTAATAGATACATGACCAGCAATAATATTGTCTTTCCTAAAATATATCAAACCACCCTTTTAACCCCTCCTCCTTGGATGGTCAAAAAACCCTTCCTAGACTTGAGTTTAACAAAGACTAGTAATCAACTTAATGCTTCGTCTATGGTTAAACAATTTTACAGTAAGATTAATGAGTACCAGAAATATATATATATATATATATATATATATATATATATATATATATATATATATATATATATATATATATAAGCGAGGTTCCTACAGCCTCTGCCGTTTCTCGCATTTCGACCGCCATCGTTTTCTGTCCATCCATTCGTCTTCTCTGATGGCTCTATCTCTCATTATGTGCCGTACATTTTCTTCCCAGGCAACTGAAGGCCTTCCCCTTCTTCTTCTTTGTTGTGGTATGTAATTTAAAGCTTTCTTTGACCATTTATCTTCATTCATTCGTTTCACGTGACCATACCATACTAGTTGTCTCGTTTCAATTCTATCTACACTGGAATATACAGTATTTGTCCTCCTTCTAATATCTTCATTCCTGATGTGATCTTTTTTGGATATACCACACGCTCTCCTTAGAAAATCCATTTCTACTACTTCTATTCTTTTTCTATCCTTCTGCGTTATCTGCCAAACCTCTGCCCCATAAGTCATGGCTCCTGGCTTCTGGCTCTACCAGAAATACCAACATATTTATACTGATGCCTCCAAATCAGAAAAAGGAGTGGGATGTGCCTTCATACACAACGACTACACTGCTTTATACAAAATCTCAAATTTTAGCACAGTATATACAGGAGAACTATTCGCAATCTAAAAAGCATTAGAATATGCACGGGACGCCAACTTAGACAGGTGCCTAATAATAACAGATTCCTTAAGTTCCATGAGCAGCTTAGGCACCATTTACCCAACTCATCCATAAAGAACCATTTGTACCAACTTCAGCTAAAGAATGCGATTGTAAAATTTATGTGGATTCCGTCACATATAGGTATACAAGGTAATGAAAGAGTAGATGCTGCCGCCAAATCTTCAGTTAAGAACGAAGACTTGATAGAACCTACCTATAAAAAAATTTTCATCACTAGATTAACTCGACATTGAAAGAACGGTGGCTTCAAGAATGGAATTAATCTCAACAAAAACTACAAGACATAAAAACAACTGTTACAAGATGGAAGAATATGTGTAGCAACAGGAAAGAACAAATTATCATAAACAAACTCAGATTAGGACATACACGCTTAACACATGAATACCATAAAACTGGAAGTACTCATCCAATGTGCGGTAAGTGTTTCAACAGTTTGAGTGTCAAACATTGTTTAATTGTATGCCCTGCATATTCAAATGAGAGGCAAAAGTGTAACCTACCGACAACTCTACGTGGGTGTTTAGAAGAAAACTTTGTCTATTCGTCTGTTTTAAGTTTTTTAAACTCAATAGGAATATACATATACAACCAAATTTAAACATCAGTGCGTGTACAAATAAATGTGTAATCTTTTATTAACCAATGTACTTCAACTCAGATTTATGTATGTAAAACTCTATGTATGTCTATGTTTAATCTATGTCAAAAAAAATATAAAAAAAATTGTAATACCAAGCGGCGCTAATAACCACTTAGGTTGATGCGTCTTAATTGTAAATAAAATTTAAAAAAAAAATAGAGTACCAAGTAATACAAATATGGGTGTTTGTAACATCTAATTTTCATTTAGCGAAATCAGTAGATTCACGGAAAAGTGCAAAACTATAATTTTAACTTAAAACAAATTACAATACGAGTAAATATAGTAAATGACAGTTAAGAATTAATACAGTATAATAAGGTTATAACAGATTTTGTATATTTTGTGACAGATTTACGTCTTGTAAAAAATCTAATACATTTTTGAAATCGTCTTGTTAGAGGATTCTTTTTAGGTACTCATAAAGACCATATTTTGATCGTTTACTATTGTAATGGAGGCAGTATGTGAAAATATCCGTTATAATTAGTGATGCATTGCAGTTTGAACATAGAGATGAATCCTTTAAAGCCATTAAATATACTTGACTTAATCTAGTGTGGTTGATTCTCGCTCTATAGATAATTATTTTTTCTCTGCTCCACATACTGGGTAGTTAAAACTATCTCAATGGTAGATTGAATTTAGTGGAGTTTCCATTTCGTTGATTTTGTCAGGATATTTTAACTTCAGTTCTGAAATTGTTAAGTGGCCTGCAAATTGTACGATTTTGTAGTTTAAGCTGGTAATGATTGCTTTCTTTGAGGCAGCAATCTAACTAATATATTAATATTAATTACAATTATAAATAAAGTTCGTCCGCTTCACAGTATAGACTTCTGATGTGGCTGGATCTAAAAGCTACATGACAAATTTGTAGTGCTGTATTTTAACTAGTATCAAGAGTTCTAAAATCAGATTTTAATGCTGTGATCTGTATAGCATGAGTAGAATATCTTTATCAGCAAAAAATAAATTTAAATCAAATAATACTATTTATTCTATTTTTTGTTTTAGAGAACACATAGAGACACCAGCTGCTCTTGTAATTTTTAAGATCTCATTTTATTGGTATGCCTTTATTGGAACTATGATATGTATTGTCCTAGGACTAGTCATAAGCTACCTTTCAGAAGAACAAAGTCCCCCTATAGCTCGTGAACTTCTATGTCCTCTGATATATGATATAATAGGTAAGCAAGGAAACCTCTTGAATAAAAACATTAATTATTATTAATTTTATCTATCTATATAAAAGCAAACAGGATTGAGTATTGAATAGATAAGGTATGTATTAAATGCATTCCCTAGCATAAAAATGAAATTTGTGAAAATATAAAGGGTAATAACATAAAAAATTCTACAATTTCAGAATATTCAAATCTATAAAGTGTATACGTTGATCACAAAAATGGCAAATAACAAAATCAATCTTAAAATTAATGACAGGCTGCAAACATTATTAAAGCCGCTGCAACAACCATTAAACATTGGATTCATTCATTCTGCATTCCTAAGTGTGCGTTCATAACAAGGCGCCGACCCTCGATCGGACCATAGGAAGGTATCATTTTATGATTCACTGTCAGTGCTATGCTCTAGGCTATGCTCTAGGATACCATGCGTTGGTCTCCGTAACAGTAAGATTAGATGGGGTACTTCTGTTTACGTGACAAGACATCTCGTAACGCGACAGTTCGTAATCTCACCAATAAAACAATTCGTCAATTCATAACGGCGACACCTCATAACATCGACAGTTTGTAACTATGACTATTCGTATCGGTATATTTCGTAACATTTAAAATTTAATTATTCTGTTTATTTTTGTTGACGTGGGGACCAACTTTTACTACAGTTGCATTTGAAATTACGTTTATCAATTTAACAAACCAGCATCACTATTGGTGTATTACATAACGAGAGTTGTAAGAAGTGTGTATTACAGGCGAGTAAAAAAGTTGCGCGCGAGTCGCGTAGCGGTGAGCGCAGTAATTTTACAAGCATGTACATAATAAGCTTTCAATTCAAGTTGTGTACTATACTTTTTCTACGATTATTTTCCTTTGTAAAAATAAAAGTAAATTACCACTATATATACACTGACAGATAAATAATTTTTAATCTGTCAAAATAACGTCTGTTAATTCGTTTCCATGGTAACACGACCAACTTACTTACGAGGCTTATGTGGTATTACACATTTTTTATAAAACTCAAGCGTCATTTTTTTCTTCAAACGTCAAATAACGAACATTACTTATCTAACTTGATCCTGTCAAAGTTTGATGTCTCCGCCGGCAGCAGTTTTTTTTCCATTTCTTTACGGCAGAGGGAAAAATGTTGTCATGGCAACAATATGAAACATGTCACAAAGCAATAATACAAATGTCATTAACAACAATTAAACATCATTTTTATTTATAGTAATATTAAAAGTACAATTAGTTAATGAGGCATTTTCAAAATTGAAACCGTACAAAAATGTTCCCGACTCTTGATACGCATTGGTAATTGTTGATGATACTGATGGTCGAGAACAACTTTCAGCAATCATTCCCGATGTTGGCGAATCATGAGGGTTTAAAATTTTTTGAGCATTATCGTTCTTATCGGACTTGGAGGGCCCCAAACGTGCTACTGCATCATTAGCCGCGGACTCAATTTCATTTAGGTTTTCCATTTTCGCACTAAATTTGCGGTTGCAACAACAATAAGCTGTCTTTAATAATTGCAAACAACTATCAAACAACTGTAACCAGGAAAACGCAAATCCCACCGACGAATTAATTACTTTAATTTCTAACATCTAAACGACTTTGATAGTTGTCACAGTTAATTTCGAGTAAAAGTAGCGTATGAATTGTACTATTTATGGTTGAAAATTGCTACGTTGGAAGAAAAAATAATATACTTTATTTGGAAAAGAAGCGACTTTTCTTGACTTATCCTCTATTACGCGCCTCACTTCGTTCGGCGCGTAATATCGGGCGCGTCAAGAAAAGTCATTAAATAAAATAAAGAATTGCATTTATAAAATATCTTGTGAATGCGATCAGTTTTATTTAGGTGAGTCATCAAGGCCATTAAATGTTAGAATAAGTGAACATCAATCTTATATTAAAAATAAAGAATTTGATAGATCTCAAATCTGTAAACACGCATGGGATAATGAACATAGGGTTCAATGGAATAATTCAAATGTAGTCCTAAAAGAAACGGATAGTAAAAAAAGAAAAATCAAAGAAGCGGCTCTAATTATGCTAAATGAGGCCAATTGTGTCGCAAATTCCTCGGCATAATGTAGTAGGATCTGGTTACCAATATTGAAAGAGGAAGTTATTAATAAGGAAATACCAGTATTAGTAAGTCAGTAACATAATAGAGGATACATCATTTATGTTTTTTTAAATAACGTAACATATAAAATCAGAATTTTGATGTTTGTTGAAGGTAAACTAAATTTACGAACAAATACTTACAATGTCGGGATAGTATTATGAGGTTTTTTTCCTGGTTTTCCCTCATAATTTACTATGGAATCACTAACAGGAGAATTTTACTATCATCATGTCATGTGTTTGTCTTTTTAAAGACGAATTACATGCTATGATTTTTTTCTGACGGATATTCTCAAGTTAAAGTTGATTTCATGTAATCGAATGAACTATCTTATAAGTAAAGTCGTCCCAGGAGCGCAACTCAACAATATTGGCAATATCATTTTAAAGTCGTCTACTTTAAAATGCATAATGTATGTCTGAATTGTCAATATAAATGAGTCAGATAAAATTAAATTATTAGAAGGATTTTTCACTATGTAACAAAAAACAAAATTTGTTTAATTTACTGTTTGTATTTTGAGAACGATTTCCGAAGTGGAAATTGAAACGTCAATAAACGTATTTTTATCTTTAATTGTGGCTTATTCCCAGTTTAATAGTAATTAATTTACAATGCCACAAGAAAATAGCTTCAGAACAATATTAAGAAAAGTCATGCTTCTCCGCCTCATAAAGAAATATACTACCTATTAGGTATTACGTGCTACTCATTACGTGTCACTATCTGTTATAATGCATTTACTTAGCATCCAAATAGTAGGTAATATACAATTTACTAGTAAGAGAGTAGAAAAAAACATTTTCAACACATTTAAGGTTGATCTTCACCCACAATTAATTTGTTTCTGATCCTAGAGATGGCTCTACTGCGGCATGCTAATCTGGTAATTTTTTTAACTTAATTGTAGATTTCTACATGATGACTCTGTAATATTTTCAAACCCTAATATAAATTACAGTTTTCTATCATTATATCCATTGACTGAGTTGCCAAATTGTGTAGACAGTAATTTTATCAAATACGCTATAACTTTTACGCTTACTAGTAGACGGAGTTAGCAAAGATATATTTAACAACATCTTTATGTATAATATTTTACTGCTCTGCTGTGTCAAAATAAACAAAGTTACGGTTTTGCAGGAACACAAGACACAAGGTCTCATTCACACATATCATTGAAAAATGATCTATATTTATTATCTAAACATTTTTATCGCCAAAGAGGTACTTAGCGGCGCTATCTATGTCTGTAGCGGTAGTATCGTATTACCATTAAATTTATACATGCATTCATATATTATTTTTTTGTTGATAGTTAAAAATTAAATTATCTGGTAATGTTAAATATTTTAGTGCGAATTATATGAAAAATGGTCAATCGTCTAAAACATGCGAACATGTCTTCTTTTTATTACTGGTTTCAGATTTGTTATCTTCCTAATTAATGCGTCTTCTTCTCTTATTTGTATGTGCTCAAATTATCTCAGTCTTTGTGGATTAATAAATTTTACTATCTCTTCCCCTTTCTATCTCTTATTTCATGCTTCATTAGTCTTCTATATTCTCCGTGTTCAGGCCTTATTGGGCTGTTTATTCTTATAATTTTGCTTTTAATAATTCTTACTTTTTCTTTATCTTTTTTCGTAAGACATATTACTTTCGCTCCGTATGCTATCACTGGTCTAATTCCTGCTCTATATATTTTTGTCTTTGTTTTTTTGCTATCTTTAAGTAGTGGGTGATATTTCCAAATTACAACGTTCTTCTCTTGCCTTGTGTGCGTGGTAGTGTCATGCGTTAGATGTATGATTTGGGGTGGTTGATACGTATTTAGTTATCACGGTTATATTTGATCTAATTAGTTCTTCAGTTTTTGTATTTATAAAATTCACTCATCCCAGATACCTACGATATCAAAAGGATTGAGCTCTGGTGGGACTCTTTCCATGTTATCGAGTCCTAGGTGACTTGGTACGTCGGTGTATCTCCTAAAAATTTTCGCACGCATCTGGACGTCGAAAGTAGCACAGCTTTCTGCATGACCTTATAAAGATGTTCATTTAGACCCAGCTTTTTTATGTTTTCTAGGAGGTTCTTCGGAATGACTCCAGTGGTAGAAAGAATAATAGGTATCGTCTGGGTACTTTCCATTCTCCATTGTCTTCTTATTTGTATTTCCAGATCTCTGTACTTGGCGATCTTTTCGCTGTACTTAACACTCAGATTATTGTTGTTAGGTATCGCCACATCGATTATAGTTGTTTGTCTTGTTATTTTATTAACTAGCACGAGATCTGGTCTATTATGTGCTACAGTTTGGTCTGTGAGCACAGTGCGATCCCAGTATAGCTTGTAGTTGTCATTCTCTGTAGTTTGCTGGATCATATTGCGAGTGTCTTGAAGTGCTTAGCATTATTTGATCAGCTCTTTTAATGACTTTTCTACTTGTTGTTCCTCGTATATATTCTGTCATTTGACCAATGTCTCTACGCAATAATTCAATCTTGTTTAGGAGCCGTTTCTCCCAGGGTGCAACTCTGTTATCAGTCCTTCCGGCATTAGTACCTCGTCGTGTTATGATCCTAATTCCCATTACATTAGCTGTTGCTGTTGCTGCACAGTAAATAAGCATATGCAAATATTCCAGCGTATGGGCTTGTACGAAGTAATTGGGTAGGACTTCAGTATTTATAATTCGTAACAGAGCACCTAATTTTTTAGAAGAGTTTATTTTTGGTAGCGGCGGTCTGCTTTTTAAAATCATAATATGCTTACATGAGAAATTATGAAGAAAATTCAAGGAAGAGTCAGAAAAATTATTTCTGTATAAGGCTGTAAATACTGGCCG